AGGCTGTAAAGGCGTCCCTTCCTCAACACCAGCTCTGCACATTTCAGCTGCCCTTATCAGGCAGTCTGTGGCTCCAGTAAGCTATTTGGATCAAAGCTCACTCACATCAGTTCTCAGAGCACACTACTAGCCTCAGGAGGCTGCCTGTCCTTTTTCTTATTTTAATCAGATTTCTTTTATTTCTTCCAGTAGCTTCTCACTAAAATGTCTGTGCTGAGATAAAAGACTATGGCTAGACTCACCTTGCATCTTGCAATAACTATCTGCCAACACCAAGAGGAGTTTACCTGCCAAACAGATTTCTTAAGCTAAGACAGCCTTGAACATGCACAGTCCTTGGGTCACAGATCATTAGAACTACAAGTCACATGCCATGCTGAAAAAATACACCATGTGTTGGCTAGAAAGGACACCAAGAGCTGCTTCCCAGAACACTACAGCGACGCTCGCATGAACATCCTTCATGCATATTCACTTTCATTGATATCAAGCGAGATATGTTTTTAACACTGGCAGTCATACTTGTGTGTGGCATGTGTATTTGTCTACTTGCCAAGCTAAGCACTTTGGAACTGGCAACATGGGACTTTGGGTCTGAACTGCAGAAGAATGTGCACACAGTCCTAGAGTACGCAGATTTACCTGTGAGGAACATACTCATGCAATATGTGGTTGATGCACTCATACCATTCTTCTCAGAGGACTCTTTTTTCCTTCCTTTTTTTTTTTTCCCCCAATCCTCCTTTTCTTCAGAATGATTCATATCCACCAGCTACCACACAAACGTTCGAAATTCAATATCCTCGCACAAATTCCACAGTCTCAGCAATATTTCCACTTTTTACTGAAAAGTATCAGCTGACTCATGCCCCTTCCATGCATGTAGTTTAGAGCACACCGTACATGTGTCTTTCCAGAGTAAACAGTTGAAAACTCATCAATCCTAGGACAAAGGCTTTCAGAAAAACACTTTGGGATGGGGTATCAATTCCTACTGCTCAACTCAAACAGAACAAGTTAAACTTCAACAAAACAAAGTCACCTCTAGTAGAAACAACTCACACCATCTTCACACGTGCCTCCTTTTGCCTTATTCTTCACTGAAAACCTGGGGAGAGCTGCAGTGAGAAACAAGAGGACAACGTGAATGCAAAAGCTGGCCAAGACAGGCAAGAAGAGTGCTTTGATCTTGTCAGGCATCCCACGCTACGTAGAAAAACACTCCCCAGGGAGAAGCCACTCTTTCAGCACTGCTTTCCAGGTGACCTCCATACCTTCACAGTTTCCAACCTATTATCTCCATGATTTGCTCTATGACTCTCCCCCCATAATCTGATCCCCTCCTTCACATCTGAAGCCATCTAGTCCACCGTAAGTCCTCCCATCCAACCCCAACTTCTGCCTCCATAGGGAGTCCCGTGACACCCCATAATTAATGCTCAACACCTCTTGCCTTTTACCTCCCTGCATCTTCCTCCACAAAAAAAACCCCCACAACAAAATCAAACGAAACAAAAAACTCCAACAAACCAACCCTGGAAGCCACAACCCTCCCCACCTTCCTCTGCTTCCTGGAACAATAGCTTTCTATTCTTTTACCTTCTTTACTTACCTACCAGTCATGCTCCGCCCAGCTCTCCCAAGGGTCACTCTCATACTGTTCCCTCTACTACTCTACTAAGGTTCTCGTTTGGCTCTTCCTTAATGCAGAAGCACTACGATTTCCAAAACTTACTCTCATCCCACATGGTTTACTCATATTTGTCTCTAAGCCCATCAAGACAGCTAGTGACAGCTGCTTCCCCAGCCCTCTCCAAACCACCTCCCAGCTTCAACAGCAGCACTCCAAGTGAAATGACTCTTAGAGCGGTCTCTAGTGACATTATCTGACAGAGAATCCAAGCAAGGAGCTATCATGCTCCAGAGGGTTGGGTGCAGATAGGACTGGTCCACCCCCACGCTGCTATTTTCCCCAGAAATTTGATTAGGGCTCTCTCATCTGTTTCCTTTGTCTTTAGCTCTTATCTTCTGGCTCTCTCACATACAAAACATTGTTTCTCTATGTCAAGTCCACAGGTTATACCTCTCTGCCAGACTCCATCATCCTCTCTTCCAAGTCAGACATGTGGAATTTAGATTGAAGAAAGACTACTTGATACGTTTAGTGTCCATCATCTTCTTGTCGACACAAAACATAGCCTCCACCCCAGCCTGCCACTGGTGCCTGAAAGACTGAGGACTAGCATCACCGTGCTCCCGATGCCTCTTCAGCATGAAAAAAGGTGCCATACTGGACCTTGGCAAGCGGGTGTAAATTTGTATTCAGGCAACAGGTACTGATCAATCCAAACTTCAACACTGAGACTTTCCTATGTACTTTAAGAACAGAAGCTACCAATAATATTCTCCTTCCAGAAAGTCTGTATTTTCAATCTTCTACCCAAGTGACCTGCTCAAGAACTTTCCTGAAAGGCCATGAAAGTAAGATATATCACAGGCAGCAGTGAAGAAAAATGCCAAAATGAAAGCCATTTGCAATCTTTGGTATAATAAGTTCCTGCAAGGCACCTATTCAAGGCAGCTCTGCTATCAGCAAAATGCCTGTCTTAGCTTTAACCCCTACAGGTGAAGTATGTTTAAATGAAAGTAGAACTTCCAAAATTAATAGTTGCATCTATACCTTAACACTACAATAAACCACTTATCAGCCTCTACTGATGTGTACACTCATCTGGGAGTAGATGAGAAATAGCCTACTGAAGGGAAAGCTGACATAGTTTACCATTCCCACAGCTCACAGTGATTGAGTGGAGCTGGCTGAGCACTACATCCTTAATTCACACTAAAATCTGTCCTGGTTTCAGCTGAGATAAAGTTAATTTTCCTCCTAGTACCCGATACAGTGCTGTGTTTTGGATTTGGGATGAAAATAATGCTGATAACAGACTGATGCTTTAGCTGTTGCTAAGCAGTGTTTACACTAAGTCAAGGACTCATCAGCTTCTCATAGTGTCCTCCAGTGAGGAGCCTGGAGGGGGAGGAGGTCCCAAGACTGGGAGAAGACAGCCATCTGGCTGAGCAAACTGCAGAAGGGGTTGGATTAGATTACCCTCAAAGGCCGCTTGCAAGCCAGTGCATCCTATGATTCTACGATGTCATGCTCAGCATCTAAACTGGGGGAAAGCCGGCTGGGGGCTGCTACTTGGGAATCGTCTGTGCATCGGTCAGCAGGTGGTAAGCACTGTGTATCACTTGTTTTTATATATTCTAATTCCTTTATCATTATTATTTTCTCTTCCTTTTCTGCCCTATTAACGTGCCTTTATCCCAACGCACAACCTTTACTTCCCTCCCAATTCTCTCCTCCATGCCCCTGCAGCAGGGGAGCAAGGGAACGGCTGTGTGGTGTTCAGCTGCCTGCTGGGTTAAAGCACAAGACCATCATGGTTAGATGTCACTTCAGATATCAGATGTGAACAGATTTTGCAGGATATACATCTTGTGCGCATGTGACTCTACCCTGTGAAGTACATACAATATGCACTACCAGTTTCACCGTGGGCTGTTTTCCAATCTCAAGTACATCTTACAGCTTTGACCTCTGCAGATCCCATCATAACACAGATCTGAATATGAACAGCACTGCTACTGACAGCTTTAACAACAAAGTCACCGTAAGCAAGCACTGACACTGAGTAGTTTCTCAGGGTCAGAAAGGAAAGTCCATACAACCAAAGCATTTACCGCTATCTCCAAAGTCAGTGACTCGAAAGCCAACTAGTTTCAATTCCTTCAGGTAAACACGGCCCATCATAACATGCCCAAACTTGAGCCAGCAGGAAAATTTCCTCCCTAGTATCGAGACTTGGCTGCAGATAACCAATAAAAAGAACAGACAGGAAAGCATTTTGAGGGACGCTCCATTTTAGCTTGGCTAAAATGCAAAGGGGCAGCCTGCAACACTGAGAATGAGCCACATGAAGTTCTGCCTCACCCAATACCAATTAGAAAGGATTAATTTTCTCCAGCAAGGTTCAGAACTCTGGAAAGAACAAAAGCTGCACATCTGCACGACACAGCCTTGTTATTTGCAGACCAGTTTCCTTAAATGCTATGATCACTACAGTTTGTTGGGGCAATGATCCCAACCACACAGTTGCACAAATACTCGAGGGAACGGGCGCTTTACTCTGAAGATGGTAAGACAAAACGCAATTTTTCATGTTTCACATTGTGCTAAAGTGCAACCTGACTCATGGTGCCACCAAGTAGAGGATACAACCTACAGTTTACTTGGATAATTGGTAGTTATGCTACAAGTAACTTGGTTACATACAGAATGTGAGAGTTACCAAGGCTCAATCAATGGATCACCACACATTTTCCTGAAGTAACCTTGTTCAGTCCTCTTAAGTAATGCTTGACTCAAAATAACCTGGGGTGGAATGGATATTTGGGTTAAAAAAGGCATCAGGACAAAACACTAAGTCTCA